TATTTGACCAGAGAGAGAGAGAGAGAGAGAGGGAAATTGAGAAAGCAAGCCGCCAGGTCTGGGGCTCGAACCATGGTTGACCATGTGGGAGTTGAGCGCCCTTAACCACCATGCCACCTGCCGGTCCCGAGCCTTTTTAAAAATGTACGACCTAATGGTTTTCGATAAATTCACAAGATTGTGGACTCACCACCGTCTAATTCCAGGACATTTTCATTGAGCCGAAATGAAACCTTATTCCCACCAACAGGCTCTCCCTTCCCCAGTCACTGGTCACCATCGAGCTGTGTCCTGTCTGTGGACTTACTTGTTCTGTGCATTAGTGTGACGGGAGTCATGCAGCGCGTGGCCTCTGCCCGCCTGTCCCTGGGCGCACCGCGCACGGCCGGCCGTGCCGTCTGTACCAGTCCTCCGCTCCTTCTGCGGCGGTGCAGCCCTCCGCCATGCGGGTGCCTCCATCTCCCTCTCACTCATCAGCGGTGGACGTCTGCGTGATTTCTGGATTTTGGCATCATGAACAATACTGCCATGAACACATGTGTGCACGTTTTGTGTGAACACACTTCATATGAACACACGTTCCCACGAGCTGGGACATACGTTAACTCTGTCTTTTTTTTTCTTTTTTGGAGAGTTTTTTGCTATAGGGCGCATGCGCTCGCCGGAAAGACAGAGAGAGACAGAAAGCGAGAAATCACCCCCCAGGGGGGATGGCCACGCCGCAATCCCTTCTCCTCCATTCTCCTCTCGGGATCTTGGGCACGCATGCACACGCGCCCGGCGTGAGTTTAAGCCACCGGGTCTGGGACTCAAACCGTGGTCGACTATATGAGAGTCCAGCGACATAGCCATTACACTAACTGCTGGTCCCTACTCTTAACTTTTTGAGGTAGTCATCCTGGTAAGCATGAAAGGGTATCTCACTTTGGGTTTGATTTTCATTTTTTTAATGACCAAAGATGTTGATCATCTTTTTGTGGGCTTAGGACCATTTGTGTATTTTCTTTGGAGAAACATATATTTATATTCTTTGCCCAGTTTTCGATTGTGACATTTGTCTTTTCATTGCCCAGTTGTGAGAGGTTTTTGTTGTTATTGTTGCTTTGTCTTAATTGGTACACTTGCCAGAGACAGATGGAAGGGCGTGTGAGAAAGCTCCACCCGTGGGGAATGTCGCCTCCCAAGCCAGTCTCCTCTCTCCCTCTCTCCTTTCAGGATTTTGGGCACACATGCACACACACCTGGTGCATTTTTTAAGCCGGTGGGTCCAGGACTCGAACTGTGCAGTTAGCCGTGTTGGATCCAAATACCTTACCTACCATGCCACCAGCAGGCCCAAGAGTTACTATGTACTTTGAATGCAAGTCTTTATCAAATGTACCGTGTGTGACTACCCCTCCCATCCCATACGTTATCTTGTTATTATACTTTCTCAATAGTGCTCTTTGATGCACACGGTTTTTATTTTTTTGAGAGTTTTTTTGGTTACAGGGCGCATGCGCTCACCAGAAAGAGAGACAGAAAGCGAGAAATCACCCCTGGGGGGATGACCACACTGCAATCCCTTCTCCTCCATTCTCTTCTCAGGATCTTGTGCACGGATGCATGCATGCTTAGCATGAGTTTAAGCCACTGGGTCTGGGACTCAAACGGTGGTCGACTACATGGGAGTCCAGCAACAGCCATTACACCATCTGCTGGTCCCTCAGGAAGATTTTTATTTTTATATTTTCTTCTAAGAGTTTCATAATTTTAGCTCCTCTGTTCAGGTCTTAGATTCATTTTGAGTTAAATTTAGAGATAGAGGGTGAGAAGCACCCTCCTGTGGGGCATGGTCACTCTGCAGTCCCTTTCCTCCTTTTCCCTTCCATCTGGATTTGGGGCGCGCACGCACACACACACACACACACACACACACACAGTGTATTCAGGACACAAAGGCTAATATTCGACCACGGTTAGCCCTGTGGGACTCGGTTCCCTTACCCACTGTGCTGTGGAGCTGCCCCAACCACAGTCAGTCTTTCTAATGGAGGGTCAAGGACTGACCTTCTGGGGGTGCCCATTGTGTGCAGGGGCTGTCGTAAAAGATCTCCAACAATAATGTGGGGTCATCTCTCTTTGGTTGGTCAGCAGCAAACACATTTAGCTTCGCTGTTGTTTACCTTAGGAAAAGTATACTAGTTCACTGACTTGGCACAATGAAGTGAACAGCTAAATCATTTCTCATTCATTCTTATTTCAGAGGCTTAATATATAATTGTCTTTGAATTTCAAAAGTTCTGTGGTTGAAAAGAATGCTTGAAGGGAGGCTGGCCTGGTGGCCTAATGGCTCAGAGACCCAAATCAGACACGGCCCACTGTGTAGTTTGAGTCCTGCTCTCACGGCTTGAAAAACATGCCGGGCGTGTGTGTGCACGCCCCACATCCCGACAAGACAGAGAAATGCAAAGGGTTGGTGACATGACCACACCCAGGGGGGTGCGCCCGCGTCATCCGCGCTGTGTATTCTCATCTCCATCGGACAGCCGCACATGCCCTCTGGAATAATAATAACTAAAAGCAAAAGCAAGCCACAGACAAGCTAAGAAATACTTGGAGGGAACTCTGAGGTGGTTTTGAGTAGAGGCCGAAGCCTTGTGCAGTACTGAAAAAGTGAACTCCCGTTGCACGGCGCCCACACGGTGCCTACTTTGCTTCCCACTTCCAGGGCACCTTCGACGACTACCTGGAGCTATTCCTGCAGTTCGGGTACGTGAGCCTTTTCTCCTGCGTCTACCCACTCGCAGCTGCCTTCGCCGTGTTAAATAACTTCACCGAAGTCAATTCAGATGCCTTAAAAATGTGCAGAGTCTTCAAACGTCCATTCGCAGAGCCTACAGCCAATATTGGTGTATGGCAGGTAATCATTTGAGAAAAAAAGTATTCCTTTAAAGAATAAAAAAGGGAAGTGTAACCAAAAAAGGAAAAGAAAAACAAGACCTAAAGAGAAATAGGGAAGCAAGACTTGGTCCTCTGTGCGTAAATGCCGTGTGACCTTAGACAGGCGTGCGCTGTCGGGCCTCACTTCTGTGATTTTCAGACTCGGGTGGAGAAGGTAAAACATAACCTCTAAGAAGCCTCTCAGACGTACAGTCATGGTCTTGTTCCAAGGCTGCAGTCCTTTACTGTTCTGCACCAGCGACTGCTTTCCTGGAAGAGTTTTCCACGGACAGTGGGGACGGGGGTGGCTCATGAGAGCGTGAGACCTAAATCCCTCGAACGCGCAGTTCACAATAGGGGCCATGCTCCTTTAAGAGCCTAATGCCCTGGGGACCAGCAGATAGCATCATGGTTACGTCGCTGCACTCCCACATAGTTGACCACGTTTCGGGTCCCGGACCCGGCGGCTTAAAACTTATGCTGGGCACATGTGCGTACATGCCCAAGATCCCAAGAGGAGAATGGAGGAGAAGGGATCGCAGCATGGCCAGGGGGGTTATTTCTTGCTTTCAGTCTCTCTCTCTCTTTCTGGCGAGTGCACATACCCTATAACAAAAATCTCTCTCTCTCTCTTTTTTTTTTGGAGAGGTTTTTGCTATAGGGCAGTGCACTCACCAGAAAGACAGAGAGAGACAGAGAGACAGAGAGTGAGAAATCACCGCCCAGGGAGATGGCCACGCCGCAATCCCGTCTCCTCCATTCTCCTCTTGGGATCTTGGGCACGCATGCACATGCGCCCGGTGTGGTTTTAAGCCACCAGGTCTGGGACTTTAAACCACGGTCGACTACATGGGAGTCCGGTGACATAGCCATTATGCCACCTGCTGGTCCCAAAAATCTCTCTTTAAAAAAAAGAAGAGCCTAATGCCATTGCTGATCTTCCGGGGCAGAGCTCAGGTAGTAATGTGAGCAATGGGGAGTGGCTGTGAGCACAGGGAAGCTTTGCTCACTCACCCGCCGCGTACCTCCTCCTGGGCAGGCCTGCTCTAGGCCATGGCCTGGGGGTTCGGTACCCCGTTCTCTGAGAGTAGCCAGTTGGTACTTCATTTCTCTGTGTAGCAGTGAGGCTCTCCCTCCCCCTTCCGGGAGGCATCGGTGCTGTTTCCATCGCAGTAATGAGGCTCCCCTCCTAGTGCCTGCTGGGTAGGCTCAGGAGGCCTGGTGGGCTGCAAGGACTTTGCCAGCACCTGCACCTTGGAGTCACCTGGGAGCACCTGGGAGGCTCCTGGTCCTCTCCTAGCACAGGAGGTACCAGGAAGTCTGGTGGGAAGCCAGGATGCCACCCTTTCCAGCTGCAGTAACCCTTGACCCAGGGTTAGTGATATCACGTGGGAACCTGGGCTCCCGCCCCCACTTGGTAGTGACAAGATATTCCCCCTTCCTAAAGTAGGGTCAGAGGAGCCAACCATAACAGAAAGCTTAAATAAGATCTAGAGTCTTACCACACCCAAAATGCCCAGGCTTCTAGGGAAAAAAAAAATCACTCATCATACCAAGAATCAGAAAAATACCAACTGAATGAAAAAGACAATAATAGATGCCACCAAAGAGGTGACACACACATTAAAAATATTGGACAAAGATTTTAAAGCAGCCATGATAACAATACTTAATAAGTTAATTGTGGATGTACCTAAAACAAGTGAAAAAATATTGATAGAACGTCTCAACAAAGAAATAGAAGATATAAAGAATCAAACTGACATTTTAGAAATGATAAATACAGTGACTGAAATAAAAAATCCCAGCAGGTGGATGCAGTGGCAGAATGGAACGGATAGAGGGGACTCAAAAACGGGAAAATAGAACAAAACGAAGAACTCAGTTCAAAGAACAGAGAGAAACTAGATCACAGTAAACAGCCTCGTGACCTGTGTAAGCGTAACAAACTGAGTTTCCTACTGCAGCTACAGGCGACGGGAAGCTGAGGGGCGAAAAGTACAATAATGACAGGGGAGGGGGCCATGGCGGCAGGCGGCGTGGTGGTTAAGGGTGCTGAACTCCCACGTGGCCGACCCCAGTTCGAGTTCTGGACCTGGCAACTTGCTTTCTCTCTTTTTCTCTTGCTCTTTCTCTCACTCTATCCCTCTCTGGTCAAATTAAAATAAATAAATGAATAAGTAAAGTTAAATTTAAAAAAAAATTTTTTTTAAAAAAAAGAAATAATGTCCAAGAACTTTTCAAATTTGGCAATAGACCTAAAATTACAGATTGAAGATGTGCAGACTCTTAAACGAGATAAACCCAAAGGCATTTCATACCAAGACACATGTCTTTGTTTCAAGACAAAACCTTGAGAGCACCAAAAGGGAAGTGCCGCCTTATCTATAGGGGAAATAATCAGAATGGTAGCCAGTTCATCATCAGAAAACGCGGAAGCCAGAAGGAAGTGGCACAACATTTCGAGTCCTTAAAGAGCAGTGTCATCAATCCAGAATCCTATCTCCAGAGAAAATACACTTTGGAAATACAGAGAAGTCAGTGTGCTCTTAGGTGAGGGAGAGCTTGCTGCCAACAGACTTCTCCTAATAGCATGGCCAGAGGAGATTCTCTAAACTAAGGAAACAATAAAAGAAGAAACTTGAAAACATTAAGAAGAAAAACCATGGTCATGAACCAACAATGTGAGTAAACACAATAGAATTTCCTTCTCCTCTTGAATTTTCTAAGTTGTGTTTGATAATTGAAGCAAAAATTGTAACACTGCTAAATGTATGTAGAGGAGATATTAATACAAGTCTATTATAAACAAGAGATGGTAAAGGGAGGTAAGGATTCTATGCTTTACTCAAACTGATAAATGATGACATAAGTAGAATGTGAAATAAAAGATATATCCATCAAAAGGAAGATGTAAGATGGTCTCTGTTTGTAGGTGGCATGCTTGTCTACATGAAAAGTCCCAAGGAATCTGCAAAAACACTCTTAGAACTAATAAACGAGTTCAGTAGGATAGCAGGAGACAAGAATGATACACAGAATTTAGTGACAGTTCAATATACTGACAATGAAAATGTGGAAAAATGAAAAACACAGAGCTCTTTACAGTTGTTTTAAAGAAAATGAAGATACACACTTAACACATTAAGGAGTTGTATTTTTAAAATGACAAAATTCTGAAGAAAGGAATGAAGGAAGACTTAAGTAACTGGAGAGCCATACCATGTTCATGGATTACAAGACGCAGCAGAGTAATGATGTCAATTCTCCCTAAATGGATTGGCAGGTGTAATGCAATAGCTGTCAGAGTCCTAGCAAGAATTTTGTGGACATAAACAAACTTACTCTAAAATTCACATTGAGAGCATGAGTACTTGGCTATCTAAAACAGTATTGACGAAGGAGGGGCATGCGTGAAGGGCCACACTACCTGATGACTCAGTATTAAGACTTAGGATAGAGCCAGAGGGATCGAGGTAATGTGGTATTGGGAGAGTGGAAGACTTATGATGAGGTGTCCAAAAAGTTCATGGAAAACATGGAAGACCTCTGACAAGACTTCAGATTTTTTGCACAGAATGTATTCATATTTAATTCCATGGCATAAACTTTTTGAAGTTCCTGTCTAAGTATTAACAGAACTGAGTTGAGAACTCAGAAGTAGACCCACACCAATATGTCTTAACTGACTTTTGGTTAAGGTGCAAAAGCAATTCATTAAATGAAAGTATTTTCAACATGGTCAGAATTAGCTGGACATGCATATTTGATAAAATTAGTAGCAGCCCAAACCATGCACTTTCCACAAAGATTACCCCAAAATGGATCATGGACTTAAATATAAAACATAAAGCCTTCAGGGAGAAAAATGAAGAAAACTTTCTGAATCTAGAGCACGGCCAACGGTCCTTAGACTTAACACCACAAACTCATTTATGAAAGGGAAGAATTAGTACACCGGACCTTATCAAGATTTTAAAAATTTGCTCACGTGGCCCGTGTGAACTGGATGCCCCTGCTGGGAGATACTTGCACGCCACATGTCTGACAAAGGACTCGTATCTATACTATCTAAACTCGGTGGTCAAAGCAACCTGCTTAGAAAGCAGGTAGAGTGTACAGGCCAGCACCTCACTAAGGAGGACGTCAAGGGCGAGTGCTGCTCGTTGTGGCCGGCAGGGAAGGGCCGCTTAACATCACAGCACGGCCTCACGGTGCGCGTCGCAGCACCCGGAGTAACAGCAGGGACAGGCCCAAAACTGGCGAGAGTGCCAATGCTGAGATCTCTGCATAGCCACTCTGCAAACAGTGTGACCTTCTTGTGGAGGTGAACATGCTGCTTCCTTCCTGACACACCGTGTTCCTATCCCGGACGCCACGCCAGTTCCAGCGAGGCCTCAGGAGCTCTTGTGCGGACCCCCCTGTGTTCCAGCCCGAGCTGTCTGATGGTGTGACTTAGAGCTTTCTCCTGCCATGGCCGCTTTAGCCAGTGGCATCCCCAGTGGCCCACCAGCTGGCCCCGAACCCACGAGCAAGGCCAGTCAGGATCACCTGACACACTTGAGAGGTGACGTGGGAGGTCACTGGCCGCAGCACTGTTGGTGATACCGATTCTCCTGTGGTGTAAACTTAAAGGAAACACCTCCGTCTTTCTTTCTGAAAATGGCAGTGGTCACAGCTTTTCTTTTCCACGTCTGTATGCAGCAGCGTGCAGAGAAGTGTGCGAGCCTGGGTCGGAGTGTGCTTGGCAGGTCTCACCGTGGCCTGACCTCGGCGCTTTCCTCAAGTTCTGTGGGCGATTCGGTAAATGGCACCAGGAAGAAGTGGGCCGCTGCTCATCACTGCTGTCTCGGAAGAGTATGTGAGCTGAAGCAGAAGTAGCATGTGATGACGAAGCAGGACGGTTTCACAAAGTGGTGGCCAGAATCTCACCTGTCTGCACGGCCTCTCCGGTGGCTCTGCTGTCGGTCCCCTTAGACTTGAGTGGAATAGGGCACTGGCCTGTCCTAGGATCTACTCCACAGCCTGGTCCTGGGCCTCCTCCGACTGGCAAGGTAGAACGTAGCGCTTTGGGACATTCAAGCCAAAGTGTCTAAAACATCTCTGAACAGTGTGGCTCTTTTAAGCTGAAAGAGTAATCGTAGCATAACAAAGAAATGTTGACGTGCTTGCAGTGTTTGGAAGTAGAGAAAGACTTTCTGCTTGGTTTGAGATCATGTGAGAAAGAACAAGGAGTGTGGAAGTGGTCCTCGAAGTTTTTCTTTTTTTTTTTTTTTAAGAATTATTTATTTATTATTGTTATTATTTTTCACATGAATTTTGCCAAAGACAGCAGGACGGTTTCACAAAGTGGTGGCCAGAATCTCACCTGTCTGCACGGCCTCTCCGGTGGCTCTGCTGTCGGTCCCCTTAGACTTGAGTGGAATAGGGCACTGGCCTGTCCTAGGATCTACTCCACAGCCTGGTCCTGGGCCTCCTCCGACTGGCAAGGTAGAACGTAGCGCTTTGGGACATTCAAGCCAAAGTGTCTAAAACATCTCTGAACAGTGTGGCTCTTTTAAGCTGAAAGAGTAATCGTAGCATAACAAAGAAATGTTGACGTGCTTGCAGTGTTTGGAAGTAGAGAAAGACTTTCTGCTTGGTTTGAGATCATGTGAGAAAGAACAAGGAGTGTGGAAGTGGTCCTCGAAGTTTTTCTTTTTTTTTTTTTTAAGAATTATTTATTTATTATTGTTATTATTTTTCACATGAATTTTGCCAAAGACAGAGAGAGAGAAAGACAGGGAGAGTGAGAAAGCAAGCCACCAGGTCCGAGACTCGAACCATGGTCAGCCACGTGGGAATTCCAGCATCTTAACCACCACACCACCTGCTGGCCCCGGTCGTCAAAGTTTTTAATTTCGCGTTCTTTCTGCTTCTAGTTGGCCTTTGAGACGATGAGTGTTATATCTGTGGTCACCAACTGCGCTCTCATTGGAATGTCGCCCCAAGTGAAGGCCATCTTCCCAGAGTCTAAAGCAGAGCTCATTTTGATTGTGGTAGCGGTGGAGGTAAGTGGAAACGTAAACCATTGTTAAACAATGTGCGCTTCGGGTGCCTCTGGGATCCCACGGCGGTGCTGTCCCTGGCTGTCCACGGCTGCCACCATCATAGCATGCATTTACGTAAGGAAGCAGCGCAGCCCAGGAGGCTGCAGACGTGGGCACTGAGGCCGTGCGTTGGTGTTTACTGTCCAGGTGTGAACAAGGGCGCCATGGTGCAGGCCTGCCTGTGTGTAGAGAAACCCTATGTGAAGTGAAATTCTGCAAATGTAATATGTGTTTGTAATCTACTCGAGGGAAATACTTCTGCTTTCTTAAGCTAATTAAGTCCTAAGAAATGCTTTTTGATAGTGATTTAAGTTTCATTCGCTGCAAGTGTGAGATTAATTTATGTATAAAACCCTCAAGAACTCCATAATGTGGTTTTAGGAAAACATAATTTCACTGCGAAGTACAAATAGACTGCCTGTGTACTTTTTCGGGTTTTCTTTTATCATCGTTCGGAATATGGATTACCGTAGCATTTTGACAATGAAACACTCGCCAGTGTAAATGGAAGAGTTTACAGCTTTTTTTGGTAGCAATTATTGTCATCAGAAATACTGTGACCTCTCATTTTTAGATATTTTAAAAATGGGACAGTCGTGGAAATCTATGAAAGCAGACTTGAGCAGGGTCAGAGTGTTTCGTATTATTCTGAAGGGCTGAGGAATCGGGGCTGACCAGAGAGATGACACCATGACCTGTACGTTCCCAGCGCTGGCACGGAAATACCTCCTGCTTTGTCGTTTCGCTCTGTCATCAGATCTGATAGGACCCTGTGCTCACGATCGATGCTATATGTAGAACATGCATTTCCAAGTGTGAATTTCAGACTGCGATGAGTAGGAGGGGAGGAGGTTGGCCCTGGCAGATAAGTAGGTCAGTTTCGAATTGTATGAGCTGAACAGGGTTTTGAGAGCTATTTGCAAAGCCAGTTTGTTACCTGTGGGAGTGAGAGCGCCAGGTAGGTGCCTCGGCAGGAGCGCTTGCCGCCCGGCTCACGGTGTACCTTCTGGGTGGGTGGAGGCCATGCCCCTGGGTTTTGCAGATCTGCCGTAGAAACTTGTGTTAGCCTGCACGTCTGAGCTCATTGGCCTCTGAGACTGACTTGAAACTAAGGAGACTTGCAAAGGACGGACCTGGGTGTCAGGTGACTTTGCAGTAAGGAGGCACTCTCTAGTGACCCTAGCCATTGCTGTGAAGGTAAAGGTGGACGTGGCTATTCGAAGATTCCTTGATAGATTCAGACCATGAGCAAGGGGTCCGAGCTAGCCTTGGCACGCAGAACACCTGAACTCCCTGGGCCCACACTGCGCGGCACCCTGTCAGCCAGGCCTTGCTGTCCCTCGCAGCTTCTGAGCACTGGGACGAGTTCAGTGCTGCCCACTTCTTGCTTTGCCTGCCCTCTCTCTGGATGTCTGCCTGCTCGGCCCTGCTTCCTGTACTGAACCCCTGCTCGGGGACTGCCTGGTCTCCAGGCCCCAGCTCTTCTTCCTTAACTTGGGTTGGTTGGCCTACAGGACTGTCCTGCAGTGGGCGATCGCTGCTCTGACCCTCATGGAGTCACTTAATCTGCGCACCCTGGAGGTACTTGCTCTGGCCCGCCATTATGTTGTCTCTGCCTTTTTGCCTTCACACGATATTAAAGCGACTCTTTACGGTCATCATCAAAACCTACTCCTTAGCGTACAGAAGTCTCTGTTAAAAAAACAATCTTTCTGAGGGAAAATCCTCAGATTCGCTACAAGAAATTTAAATTGTTACCAGAAATTATGGCTTAATTTCTACAACTTTATACTTTGGAGTAATCGTAATTGATAAGAAGATGTAAGGATAGTGCGGAGGTCCCACATTCCCTTCGCTCACCTCCCTGAAGGCTGCGTCTTTCATATCTATTCTGCAGTAGCAGAACCTCGAGATTGACTGTGGCCCAGTGCGTCAGCTCTTGGCGTTTTATCGCAGGTAACCGTCACCATAGTCAAGAGATGACTCCATCCCGCCTTCTCCCCCGTCCTTCCCTACCGCTCCTAACCCCTGGCAACCACAAATCTGCACTCCACCGCTATCATTTCAAGGTGGTTTTATGAATGGAACCGCACAGTATATAAACCCTTCCTGTGATTTCTTCTAGGGATTGACTTGTGTCTCCCTAGAAGAAGGTGGGCTAAGCTCTAACCCCCAGTGCTGGGGAACAGCACCTTATTTGGAAATAGGGCTGTTGCTCATGTGATTAGTTAAGGCGAAGTCACACTGGAGCAGGTTGGGCCCTTACCAGTATGACCAACCCAGAACCATGAGAGAAACGGTGTGATGAAAGAAGTGTGCACCTGCAAGCCGTGGGACACCAGGTCTGGTGACAAACCACCAGAGCTAGAAAGTGGTAGGGAAGGCTCTGAAGGCTTTAGAGGGTTCACAGCCTTGCTGATGCTTTGACTTTGGACTTGTAGCCTCCAGGCTGTGAGAGGATGAATTTCTGTTGTTTAAAGCCATTGTGTTTGTAATACTTGGCTCTTGCAGCCCGAGGAAACTAATGCAATTTCCTTTCAGCTTGAAGGACTTCTTTTAGCCAATCTTTAAGCGTAGGTCTGCTAGCAAGTCTTTTAAGATTTACTCATCTGAGAACTGGATTTTTATCTTTCACTCTTGAAGGATAGTTTCGCTGGATATAGAATTCATGGATAACAATTTTTTTTCAATATTTGAAAAATATTTTAGAACTTCTTTCTAGTCACCAAAATGTTAGCAGAAAATCTGCTCTCATTCAAGCTGGTCTTCCCTCTATGAGCAATGTGTCCTTTCTCTGGCTACCTACAATATTTTTTTATCTTTAATTTTTGGAAGTTTATTATGATGGTTCTTGGTGTGGATTTATTTAGGTTTATTCTGTTTGGGGCTGCCTAGTTCTTAGCTCGGTATGTTTGTTTTTGTTTTAGGATTTTTTTTGCCTTAGAGTTTGTGTGCTTGCCAGAGAGACAATGAGAGGGAAAGTGAGAAATCACCCTCCAGAGGGGACAGCCACGCTGCAATCCCTTCGCCATTCTCCTCCTAGGATTTGGGGCACACTCACCCGGCATGGTTTTGAAGCTGCCGGACCTGGGACTTGAATCACAGTTAACCATGTGGGGGTCCTGTTGTCTTAATGACCATGCCACCTTCTGGCTCCGGTCTGTAGTTATTTTATTTTATTTTATTTTATTTTTATTAAAAATAAAATAAAATGTCTTCATCTCAGCTAGGTCTCTGTTGTGAGTCTCTTACGAGGCTTTGTATTTTTAATATTTATCCCACTTATATGCCGTGCACTTACCTGTCTCTCTTACGAGCTGTTGGCTTCCTGAAGGCAGGACAGTGCCGACTTAGCTTCCTCAGTAGGTGGTTTTCCTCCCAAGAATACGGACTAAACATGGTAGACGTGCAGCGTAGTTTAGAAAATGTTAAATTAATTCGTTAAGCTATTATAAAAGAAAATAGACACTTCAGTTTTCCTGAAAGATGAAATGGATGGGTGAAATTCCTGGATGTTTTTCTCTTCTTTGAGACATTCGTATTTAGGACTAATTATGTGACTGTATTTGTTAGTTTCTAACTCTAAGTTCTGCGTGTGGGGGTAGTGCCAAGTGCTCACCCATATTATTCCTTCATTAAAGTATGCCCAGTCGCTAGTTTTCACTTTTTAGTTATTTCTTATTTACATTTAGTCATTACATACCTCTTTGGTGCACAGCGTGGTTGTCAAAGTGTGCATGCAGTCGGGACATTCTAATCAAGGGTATTGCCGTATATGTCACTGCAGCAGAGAAGCCTTCACTCTTGTGTCAAGTGTTCTTAGCTGAGCCAGCTGCTAGGTCTGCAGTACTGGATATGGTGCTAAGGAGGGGCAGAGCTGTTTTCCAGTTTAGTTCTTGAGAACTCTGCTGCCTTTTTTTTTTTCTTTCTTTTTTGAGAGGTTTTTGCTATAAGGCACATGCGCTCACGAGAAAGACAGAGAGAGACAGAGAGACAGAAAGTGAGAAATCGCCCCCAGGGGAAATGGCCACACCACAATCCTTTCTCCATTTTCCTCTCAGGATCTTGGGCACGCACGCACACATGCCTGGCATGAGTTTAAGCCACCAGGTCCGGGACACGAACTGTGGTCAACAGCATGGGAGTCCAGCAACATAGCCATTACGCCAACTGCTGGTCCTCCACACTGTTTCGATGATCACAGTTTTGTAGTAAGTTTTGAAATCAGGAAGTGCAAGACTACCAACTTTTTTCTTTTTCTAGATTGTTTTGGCGATTCGGGTGTGTATTTGTTTTAACGTGCATGTGGTAAGCTATAGCTATTAAGGTTCTGAGATCTTTCAAATGTTAATCTATCAGTCAGAAGTTGGGTTATACTGACGCAGATTTGTCCTCTCTGCCACAACACTGCCGTTGAAGGTTCGTCTGCCTTTACCCTACTGACTTTCCTACATTTGAAAGAACCCTGGTTTGGGTTTCTACATTGAGAATCTTGTTTGTTAGAGCAAAACCAGACTTAGAGAAAGTGTTAGAAATAACCAAAAAATTACTAAGTTAATTAATTTTATTCTCATGTTGCTGAGATTCCAATGGAATGCCACCTGGTCTTGTACTGAGTCTAGGAGAGTGGGACATTAACGGGTAACTTAGAAAGGTCCAGCTAAGCGTGGTGGTGTTTGGGTGTGAGCCTGTGATCTCAGAGACTTGGAGGTGAGGCAGGAGGGTGGTGATCTCGGGACCGGCCTGGGCGACATGGAGACCTGTCTGAAAAAGAGCTGAGTGTGGTGGTACACACCTGTCTTCCCCTCTGGGGGGCTGGCGGGGACTCTGAGTTTTGGTTTGTTTCCAAATTTTGTAAAAGTATGCAGTTCTAATTAATGTTATAAGGTCAAGATGCGAGGTGATGGGTATACTAATTAGCTTAATTATGTTAACCACTTCACAGTGTGTTCCTATCAAAG